GTATGATTATTTTGGTCCTGGCACCAAAAAAATCCATTCTTCCTGAGAGAAATCATTATCATTTTCACCATGTTCTATTTTCTATTCAATCAGAAATGGGGAAATACTTGTAAATGCTTTAAAGGAATATTCCTGTCAACGTGCAATCACAATTTTCTTTGTACATGATGTTCATTCATGGTAAAATAATTTGATTTGAGTCTTCAAGAGCTAGCCAAAAAGAGAATGCTTAGATGCAACACATTCACTTCACACAATGCTCCTGTTGGAAGTCAGGCTTTTTATGTAGATTTCTGCAGGTTCTCCCTAGTGAAAATCTACTTTGTTATTCCCATCAGGTCTTCTCTGCTCAGAGAGTTTCCGCATGTGGGTGATTGTTTTTCTCGCACGGACAACAATAAACAGCTCTTCCAAGACTTCGTTTTCCTCATTACTTTTCTCAGCCCACTGTGTGAAAATACACATGTTTGTTGCCTTTCAGAAGCGCAAACACTTCTGGAAAAAAATCCAGGAGACAGATGTGCACCATCTTGATGCTGCCTCATCCCAGGTCTCAAACTCCTCTATAGATAAGGGTCTTTATTAGGGGGAAAAAAAAAAAAAAAAAAACCACAAAACACAAGAAAAGATAGAAATCGGAGCCATTTCTTATGAAAGTTAGTTTCAGAAAATTCCCTTGGAGGGGCTCCCGGGTGGCTCAATCGGTTTAAGTGTCCAAATCTTGGTTTCGGCTCAGGTCATGATCTCCCAGTTCATGAGTTCGAGCCCTGTATCGGGCCCTGTGCTGACACCTTAGAGCTTGGAGCCTGCTTCAGATTCTGTGTCTCCCTCTCTCTTGCCACCCCCCCCCCCACTCTCTCTCTCTCTCTCTCAAAAATAAATAAACATTAAAATTTTTTTTAAAATATGTCAAATTCAGATTTATTTTTGGCATTATCCAAAATAATAACAGGTATGAGTTTACTCAGTAATCTGGCAATGGACCTTCCCATTCCTGACTCCCCCCTCCCCCCCAGATGCAGATAAAACTTCCCTATCAGCCTCAGGAATACGGAAGGTCAAATTCTCATCAGCCACTGTGAGCCCAGAGACCACAGATCCTCCCAGGAACACTGACACAGGCCATTTTCACCTGGGGTAGGGGAGGTCCATGAAAATCAGAATACCAAGCTCTCTACATACTCTATGCAAATCTCATTTTTGCTGCTGATCACCAAGCTCCCAAAAAGGGAGTAAGACCAGTCAGTGCCTTTTCCTCTGTCAGGACCCTGACCAGAGGCTCTTAAATCTCCCAGCCCTGGTTGGCTGCCCCAGAAACTACTCAACTAATTAGAGATGGGCGGACTGTGGTGGCAGGACTGGAATTAGATGAGAGAGCAACAAATTCACTTTCAAGCAAACACCTTTCAAAACTCTTTCTCAAAGTATTAAAATGATCATTTATACCTTCAGCATGAGAAAAAAAATAAAGGGTGATTTTATTATTGCTGTTGCAACACTGGTAATATTATAGGAAAAAGTTACGTTACGTGAGAAATATTCAGGATTTGGCTTAACATGGCTAATATTTCTTCTTTAGATTATTGTAAGTTAGAGAAAGATAAATATATGATTTCACTCATATGTGGAATCTAAGAAACAAAACAGATGAACATAAGGGAAGGGAAGGAAAAATAAGATAAAAACAGAAGGGGAGGCAAACCATAAAAGACTCTTAAATACAGGGAACAAACTGAGGGTTGTTGGAAGGGAGGTGGTGGGGGGAGATGGGCTACATGGCTGATGGGCATTAAGGAAGACACTTGCCGAGATGAGCACTCAGTGTTATATGTAAGTGATGAATCACTAAATTCTATTCCTGAAACCATTATTACACCATATGTTAACTAACTTGGATTTAAATAAAAATTGAAATTAATTAATTAATTAAATGAAAAATAAACACAAATTAAAAATTATTGTTATATAATTTATGAATTCAAATGAAATTTTTATGCGTCATAGGAAGATCGGTGTTATGCCTCATAAGCAGGATAGAATTAAAACTTGCTAATTGGGGGCGCCTGGGTGGCGCAGTCGGTTAAGCGTCCGACTTCAGCCAGGTCACGATCTCGCAGTCCGTGAGTTCGAGCCCCGCGTCAGGCTCTGGGCTGATGGCTCAGAGCCTGGAGCCTGTTTCCGATTCTGTGTCTCCCTCTCTCTCTGCCCCTCCCCCGTTCATGCTCTGTCTCTCTCTGTCCCAAAAATAAATAAACGTTGAAAAAAAAAAAAACTTGCTAATTGTCCAATGCCCTTACTAAAATAATAATCATTCATTTCACTATCAATAAAACAAAATAACGAAAAAAATCCTTTGAGTCAGTACATTTACCAGAGACAGTAACAGTCCTACAGCATTCCAAATCCAAAGAGATGGCCTTATAGCAGATATCAGCATTTGCCTCTTATTATTAGTTTTATGTATGCCATTATGTATGGCATAATGGTTTGGAAACAGAGATGACCCTCCAGTTGTTCAAACTGTACAAAAGAGTCAGTGATATCTTCATAAAACAGAAAACCTGAAAATGAATCTAGGACAAACCTAAAAATACCCAATTTTCAGTATTGAGGCAATATTACAATATTAACATTTGTTGAAGATCAAAGAAATAATAAGTAAAAGAAGTAAAAGAAATAATAACACATTCAAGACCCCACTGTGTTTATACTTCAATAATAAAAACTAATCTTTGATTTATAAAAAATGCTGTACTGGAGTTGAATGAACAAAGAAGTGATCATTTTTAACAAATTATTTTCTCAAAATATAGATGAGGGCCAGGATATTCTGATTCATATTTCTTATGCTTTGCTTGAAAAATCAAAATCTTTGTAAACATTTAAGACTTGAGGGGGCTCCTGAGTGGCCTCAGTCACTTGAGCATCGGACTGTGGCCGAGATTATGATCTCAAGTTCATGAACTGGAGCCCCGCATCTGGCTTGCTGCTGCCAGCACAAAGTAGGCTTTGGATCCTTTGTCCCCTTCTCTCTCTGCCCCTCCCCCACTTACATGAGCTAGCATGCAGTGTGCTCTCTCTCTCAAAAATAAACACTTACTTGGTATTTAACCCCTGTAAGTGTACTATAGGGCTTCAATGCTTCAGTTTACACATACATATGACATATCAGGGAATTTATAGAAAATCATAAATAAATAATACACTAAGTTATAATCCCCATCCAAAAATATTCTCAACACCCATGCCATTTTTCCTAATTCATATTTGTAAGTCAGTTATATAAAGCAATGTTTCTCAAACCCTAATGTGCGTATGATGACCGAGGACCTTGTTAAAACACAGATTCTTATCCGAACAAGCTCCCAGGAGTGTTTACGTTACTGGTTCATGAACCATTCTTTTCAAAATAGAGGACCTTTTGATCCCACTAAATGTGTCTGAATTCAATGTTCAAGAAGGTAAAACTGGTAGTTTAAAAATATGAAATATGTAACTAGCAGTCTTTATGTATAAGCACTGTATTTATTTGAGTTTGGAAAGAAATATTCTGGAGCAAATAATAGTCGATCTAAGTCATTTTAACCTCTTCTGCATTGCAGCTTATGAACAGAAAAGTAGGACATTAATTTTAAAAACGGAGTGGAGAATAATTAAAGGAAATGTCAACTGCTGAGTTGATTATTTTCCTAAAATTTTAAATAGAGTGCTTTTTGCCAAAAACACTCACAATAAAATGTAATGTCAACTGCAAATTAGGGGCAATTGCAGTACAGAAAACTCTTAGGCAGTACTTGTCAAATCCCTGATTTTCACGTTAGACTGGCATATGAAAAGGAGAACACTGCATGATTTTTCTTTTTCTTTATCCTTGGTATTGTGTCTTTTTCCTACTTGCGCTGTAGAATTGAAGTCCGCACAAATCCTTTCTCCAAATGTTGAGTAATAAACACCAGCCTCTTCATTTCCTAACAGCACTCTGTGCTTAAGGGGTATGACTCTTGTTTCTTCTAATGGAGTCACAGTTTTGATCCCACACAATTCTTTGAAAAGCATGTAAAGAGAAAGCTGCACTTTCCTTTTATCTGCCAGGTTGGGCCAGGATATTCTATTATGCACTGGCATTTGAGTGGGAAACCTAAATGATAAATACACCCTGGAGGTGTGGTATTTCAAATTCCTCTTGGTTTAGAAATGCCCTGGGGGAACTAAGGGTATTATTTACTGAGCATTTCTAAAATGGTTCCCTGGGATGCATTGTTGTTGGTACTTTGTCTTACCCACCTAGTGGAATTGTGATTTGTTTTATAGTAAAAATATATTAAAATGACCTTTCAATCCCTGTAGCTAAAAAGAAAGCCACTTTTGAGGCCAGGAACCACCATTTAATTACTTACATGATTTGTCACCTTCTGTTTATTTTTGTCTCCTCCCTGGGGGCAAAAGTCTTACAAGTATCTTATAAGTATTCTTGCTTTCTTGGCTATTTAAGTTCTTGGATTGTCTTTGATTTTTATTTTAATGTATATAAATATGTTAGAGACTTCCAATATCTTTCATTTTGTTCTTTCTCCACACCCTATATGTTTATTCTGTTATTTGTAGAATTTTTTCAGAGTTTTTCAACATACAAATAAATACACTAACTAAAATGAGAAGAAAAGGAAGGCAAGACATTTTTTGTGTGTGAGAGAATAGTTTAAGTCATTTAAAAGGCTGTATTGACAAGTCTATATCTTAATGTATAACTATCTTGATATAGATGATAGATAGATATTTGTAATCTGGGCAAAAAACAGCAGAAGCAACCTTTCCTATCCCATTGTGAAAGTGACAAAAAAAAACTAATGCAAAGAAATCTCTAACTAAAATAAGAGATACCAAATCTACCTGTAGCCGGGCGCAAAGACGCAAGGACACCTGGCCCCGGGGAGTCACAAATAGATCCGGTTTGGCCATTCGCTGCTGCTGCTGACAAAATCCAAAGGCAGAGAAATAAATGGTGGGAAACAAGGAAGGAATTTATTTCAGTGATGCCCACACTGGGAAGACAGCATGGGCCGTCAAAGACTCTCCAGAGTGCGGAAAGTACTTCCAGATTTACATAAGGAAAATGTGGGGCAAAGATGGGTGGGTAGTGCAGGTCGAATGGACCACTCTCTTGGAGTCAATCGTGGGTGATGTCTTGCCGGCTCAGGGCAGTCCTTATGCTTGAGGGGGTAGCTTCCGTTCCCATGGTTTGTCCTCAGGGTCTTCCACCTGAGCCAGGAGACAAGCTGGAAAGAAGAACCCAACTAGAAAGTTTGAGGTCAAAATGGAGACAACTGAAGCCCTCGTATACCTAACACGACAAAAAACTGTGTAGAGTCCCTATGATATGGCAAGCTGCCATAGACACTGCCAAGACAGAAATATGTGTAAGGTATCTAAAACTCTATGGTTTGTTTAGGTACCGAGTAATTTAGTAAATTTCCCACAGTAAATTGTCACTGAAGATATTTATTTCTCTCCCTGTGTGAAATAATTTCTTTATCCTGCTGTAAGAAATAATAACAGAAATGCTACAAAACCCATATAAGGAGTGTTAAAAAGAAAACCACAGGCTCAAAATGGTGTTACGGCCCCAAAGTAAATCAAGACTAAACACCTAACCTAACTGCAGTTTCTCCCCAAGGAATATAACCTTTCACCAGTCAACTTGGGAATTTCTTGATCAGCATCAGAAATGTACTGATACACCTCTTCTGTTCCCCTTAGGAGTGTGACCTTGCCCAAAACAGTGGACTCTTTACTAATAATTTCCTTTTTTCCATTCTTTCTCTATTTGTAAAGATCTTTCCTATTCTGTAGCCCTTTGGAGCTCCCCTATGCTTGTTAAATTGGATGCTGCCCAATTCATGAATCAATTAGTAAAACTAATTAGATCTTTAAAATTACTTGGTTGAATTTTTCTTATTTAACTGTAGGATTAACAGGATTGGTCCATCTGTATAAATGAGACCAAAATGTTCCAATCTGCTATAGAATATTTGTGCTCTACACTAAGCATGTGAATTTCTGGAGTTTTTTGAGCTTGCAAATTCTGAAAGATAACTAACTTAGTGGTTTTCAAAGGATGGTCCCTAAAACAGCAGCCAAATAGTATCATCTAGGAAACTTTTTTTTTTTTAATGTTTTTATTTATTTTTGAGACAGAGAGAGACAAAGCATGAGCAGGGAAGGGGCAGAGAGAGAGGGAGACACAGAATCTGAAGCAGGCTCCAGGCTCTGAGCTGTCAGCACAGAGCCTGATGCGGGGCTCGAACTCACAGACTGTGAGATCGTGACCTGAGCTGAAGTCGGACGCTCAACTGACTGAGCCACCCAGGCGCCCCTAGAAAACTGTCTTAAATGCACATCTTTAGGCTTCAACTCAGATACACTGAACCAAACTCTCTGGGGTTGGGGCCCAGAAACTACTATTTTAAGAAGCCTCCTAGTGATTCTTATAAACATTAAGTTTCCTCTGACCTAACTCCCTTTTTATCAAAGGAGAATATTAAAATCAAGGGGAGTCAACCAGGTCATAGAGCTAAAAAGTTGCAGAACATAAAGTGTAGCACATAGTAGGTACCCAGTTATACAATCTGACCCGTAGCATAATTAAAGCCATAATATAATTAAATGTAAAAAATAGAATCATTTTATGTCTGAATTATTTTTGCATTTTGTGTAATACTGCATTTTCCTAGTACCAACACCAAATCAAATATTGAACCTAATCCTTAAGATCACTTTGTATAATTACTTAAACTGCTGATCTGATGATGGCAAGATGTCGTAAACGCAAGATGAGGTTTCAGTCCCGAGAGGATGTGTCAGTTATTAGAGAAGTGTGTTTTTGCCTTGGTCTAATCCTAATTTGAGCCTGAATTAGGGAGACTTTTGGTTTGATTGTTGAGAAGGGATTATAGAAGATATTGAGCAGAGAAACAGAAATGGCAGAAGGATCATTCTTCAGAGAAGTAATGAAAGGAGTATCTCTTTTTTGTAATGTTCATTTATGTATTTTGAAAGAGGGGTGGGGATGGGCAAAGAGAGAGAGAGAGAGAGAGAGAGAGAGAGAGAGAGAATCCCACGCAGGCTCCACGTCGTCAGCACAGAGCCAGATGCAGGGTTGGATCTCACAAATCATGAGATCATGACCTTGACTGAAATCAAGAGTCAGTCACTTAATCGACTGAGCCACCCACATCCCCCAGGAGTATATTTTAATGTATCTTTGAGTGTATACATCAGAGAAAAGATCAGTGATCAGTAAAAAGATAAGATTCTGGTTGCCTTTAAACAAATGAAATATAAATATTCCTGTGTCTTCAACTTGTCATTCTCTATTAATTACTTTCTTTGTCTATAAAAAAACCCAGATGAACACTATTTTTAAAATAAATTTAAGGGGCGCCTGGGTGGCGCAGTCAGTTAAGCGTCCGACTTCAGCCAGGTCACGATCTCGCGGTCCGTGAGTTCGAGCCCTGCGTTGGGCTCTGGGCTGATGGCTCGGAGCCTGGAGCCTGTTTCCGATTCTGTGTCTCCCTCTCTCTCTGCCCCTCCCCCGTTCATGCTCTGTCTCTCTCTGTCCCAAAAATAAATAAACGTTGAAAAAAAAATTTTTAAATAAATTTAATTTCCATAAATCTTCATTAATCTACCATGCTAACTTCATTCTTTCCTTCACTCAAATTCTTTTATAACTACGAAATTAATTCAGGTTAAAAGTTGAAAACTAGAAACCAGAACAAATCAAAGATGAAGCATAAGTCTTTGAAATGTCTCTAGCTGATATGTTTTCATATTAGTGTTTTCATAGAGCATGTATTCATTTGTTAGCCAAAGTGGTATGATGTGACAGTTGCTCTGAAGCTATTTAAAAAATAAACTAATTTTGTAATTTTCCATTTTAGTAAATAGTCTTTTGAAGGCATAATTACAATGGATATTTAATATTGCATTATATAGACATGGCATAATTTGCCAGTCACGCGTATTTAGACATTTGGGTCATTCCCAGGTCTTCATCATTATGCTAGATTCTGTGATGACAAACATCCCTGTAGTATATAAATAACAAATTCAAGCAGTTTATCTCTGATAATATTCTCAGCATAAAATCTAAAAAGTAAAAATTAACTAAAATCATTTAGAATTTTGTTATCCATGGCAAATTGTCCTTCATAGCTCCCTAGAAGTATATGATATTTACATCCAACCTTTAGTGTATAGAACTGTTCCTTTTTTTATCTTTAAAATTTTTAGAGATCAAATAGTAATATTGTTGTTTCTGTTCCATTAATTATGTTATTACTGTCATATTTTAATATTTTAATAATTATTAGCCATTTTTATTTCCCATTCAAGCATTTTGCCCATTTTTAATGATGTGTTCACATAGTTTTTGTTGATAAGCAAAAAGCTCTTTAAGTGTTAAACTTTTTCATTTCTGTTGTAAATGCTTATGGTCAATATTTTGGAATGAACAACTTAAGAGTGATGGAAAATTTTATTTGTGTTATTTTCTTCTCAAATTTTAAAAATCTATTTTTCTCTCCCACTATTACAAAAACTGCTCTTGCTAAGGGCATCCTTATCAAAATACATGTCACTCCTACATTCACCACCAGCAGCAAATGGTGTTGCCCCTGGCTTACACCTTAAAACTTTTCTGTTTTTTTTTTTTTTAATTTTTATTATTTATTTATTTTTGTTTATTTATAATTTTTTAATATTTTACTTTATTTTTGAGAGAGAAGGGGGAGGGGCAAGGGAGAGTGAGACACAGAATGGGAAGCAGGCTTCAGGATCTGAGCTGACAGCTCAGAGCCTGATGTGGGGCTCGAACTCACGAACCCTAAGATCTTGACCTGGGTGGAAGTCAGATGCTTAACCGACTGAGCCACCCAGGTGCCCTTTTTTAAATTTATTTTTGAGAGAGAGAGACAGAGACAGGCAGACAGGGCACGAGTGGGTGAAGGGCAGAGAGAGGGAGACACAGAATCCTAAGCAGGCTCCAGGCTCTGAGCTGTCAGCACAGAGCCTGAACGCAGGGCTCAAACCCATAAACCACGTGATCATAACCTGTGCTGAAGTGGGACATTTAACCGACTGAGCCTCTCAGGCACCTTCAAACTTTTCTGTTTTGATTTCCCTGGTTCTACTTCAGTGTTTTGGACTAAGTCCTTCATTTCTTCTTGGGCTTCTCTTTCCTTGCACTCTCCTGAAAAGAAAGGTTCCTCTGAGTTCTTCCCTTGCTTCTGTTTTTGGTCATACTCACACAAAGAGAGAGATTCCCAAGAGGCAGGAGGGTATTGGACTCAGATTCAGATGAATTTAGTTTTGTCTTAAATCTCCAGCTCTAGCAGCATTTTATTTTGCAGATAATTCATTTTCCAAAATAATAATCATAATAACAATAACAACAACAATAATAATAACAATAATTGAAACCATCAGACTCTCAGCATTTAAGTACACAAATTGACCTATGTTCTTACAAATATTTTGCCTTCCTCTCCTGTTAGAAAAGTCCAACTGCTTGCCTTGGTTAAGATATCTCCTAGACTGCTGAAAACAAACAACAAACACAGCACAAAACAACACTATCAATAAAACTCCATCAAGAAACAAACAATAGCAACAAAAATTGAAACAGACTCATAAATACAGAGGACAGGGGCGCTTGGGTAGCTCAGTCGGTTGAGCATCTAACTTGGGCTCAGGTCATGATCCCACCTTTCATGGCTTGGAGCCCTGCGTTGGGCTCTGTGTGCTGACAGCTTAGAGCCTGGAGCTTGCTTCGGATTGGGTGTCTCTCTCTCTCTCTCTGCCCCTACCCTGCTTATGCTCTGTCTCTGTCTCTCTCTTTCAAAAATAAACATTAAATAAATTAAATAAATAAATAAACAAATAAATAAATACATACATAAGGAGAACCAACTGGTGGTTGCCAAAGGGGCTGCGTGGGGGGATAAGCAAAATGGGTCAAGGGGATTCAGAGGTACAAACTTCCGGTTATAGAATAAATAAGTCACCTGGGTGAAAAGTACAGCATAGGGGATATAGCCAATAATATTGTAATAGCCTTCCTTGTGTGGTTACAAACTGTAACCACACGTAGGGTGGTGAGCATTTTGTAATGTACGTCAAATCACTGTGCTGTACACCTGAAACGAATTTAATATTATGTGTCACTTATATTTCAATTAAATTATTTTAAAACAATAATAATTAATTAACATATGGT